TATATATATATATATATAAAATTTTCTGCTTTTAATTCTTATGAGATTACATTATAGATTTATGTGAATTAATCATGGAAATTATAAAGTTATACGAAGTTCAATATAAATTTTCCTTTTTTTTTTTTTCATATTTCTACTAATTAAAGCCGGTATTTTCTATTTATGACTTCATAATTTATTTGTTTTAAATTTATTTCAATTTTTTTTATATAATGCATTTAATAAAAACTCTCTGCCTAAAACATTTAAATTATGTAAAATTGAGCGTAAAGAAAAAACGCTGTTTTATTGCTTTAATCATTAAATGTACAATGTTCTCTTCCTGTTTCTTGCTTTTTATATCATACCTTTTTTCTTCTTTGTGATTTTATCGACACTCAAATTTCTTTTCATATATATATATTCTTGTCTCTTCCGAAGTTAACTTTTATATCGAGCGACAGAAAGCGAAAACTTAGATAAGAGGCAAAAAACAAGTAGTAAAAAGTGGTAAAAAGTAAGAAAAGTAAGGAAATCAAGAACACAATTGTAGATTAGGTATTGGTAAACTTCTTCAGCAATAAAATTGTGATACAAAACGATGTACCGGATGAGTGGAGTAAATTTAAGTACTTAAGATTATCAAATCTTAATAATTGAACTGATCAAATTCTGGGCAGATTGAATCGATAATTTTGGTTTGAATTACATAGGTATTTTTAAACTTTTTTTTATAATACATGTATCGCCGTTAACGCAAAATTCATATAATTAAAAGGATTAAAATCGCAATAGTCGCTACGTGTGGATGTACGACCGGCGAAAAATTTGAAATTATCTGTTTTAACAAGGAAGATGAAATGTTAACACCGATTCAATTTCAATATTAATAAATATACATCGATGTTATTATTGTTGTATTTATGTTCGCGGAACATCCCTCTCTCTCGCTTAACAAAATAAAAGAAATGTATAAAATTCTCGGCAATTGAATTAATTAAAGTTAAATTTGCTCTTAATATTGCTTTGAAAATCCAAAATCAAAATTGAGTTATTTGCGCTGTCATTTATATTATAGGAAAAATTCAACCATACTTATGCATACTTTTTGGCAACAATAATGTATATTTTATGATTATACAATAATTTAACAAAATTTATAAAATATCTTTCAACGGGATCTTTTTATTATTTTATATGCTAAAATCGCGACATTTAACATTTTTAGCAAGAAAGCGGGAAAAGCCCACTAAAATGGGCATTTTTTCTTAGAATTTTTCATATATGTGATATATTTTCATATATTTGAAATATTCTAACGTTTCTCAGTCTATATATAATATTTGAAAAGAGAACTTTAAAAGAGAACTTTTTAGATTTCATGAAATTTTCAGAAATTATAAAATAAGAAATCTTATACCCAAACATTTTTCATGCGTGAAATTATTAAAATGATGAATTAGAAATGAATATTAAAAAATGACTTTTAATTTCATTTCGGATTAGTACGTCATTTTGATATTATTTTGATATCAAATTGTTCTGCTTGAGTATATATATAAATATGTATAAATATATGAACGTATAAATATTCATAAACATATTATAATTATATGTATATGAAATATGTTCATACATATGTCCAAACATTTTTTTTTTCTATAATTATACTTATAATAAAATTTAAAACTTATAATAAAAATAACACTAAAAATAATTAAAAGAATAATTTTCGCATTATATAATATTTGTTTTAGAAAAAAATCAGTTTAGAGAAATATAAAAGAATTGCTCATATATATATACACACACACACACACACACACACACACACACACACAACTATTTACAATTAAAGTAAACAACAAGGATGGAATGACTGAGTGACGCTCGAATGGGGATTTGAACATAGCTTATTTAGCATGTCAGCATAGAATAGAATCAGAAAATTATGGAAATAGTATGGAATATAAAAAATAAAAAATCATGAGCATAATATTAGGTGTAGTAAAAAGAAATCCATTATTTTTGCATGAAATTGAATGGAAAAATAATGGATTTCTTTTTACCACACCTAATAGCATGGAACAGAACTATAAATGCAGAAATCGTAACACATTATCCGTCGGAAGATGATTACGTAGTAATGCGCATGTTTGTCCACGTAGAGGCGCTGGTGGATGAAAACAGACAGAAATCAAGAATCATCAGTGGATCAAGTGGATGTCCCTTTCAAAACTTCTTTGTAACAAGTAATAACTAACAGCATATAGTCTGTAGCAGCCAGTTAACAGCATTATTCGAGACTATTGAAGACTTCGAATGTACATTATATTCAGGTTACATTTTCAAGAAGAAAGATACAACTTGTATTCGTATTGATTAAATTCATGTTAAATGATGGCAAATAATAACAAGAGTTCTTTTATTACTGTACCTGGCTTCTGTCCGGATTGTGGTTCAGTTTTACCTTTGCTTGGGGAGAAAGGAGGAATTACATGTTACACATGCAAAAGAGAATGGGATGCTGAAGGTATCACTAGATGATAATTCAAAAAATTCTACAAAACACTATGAGATTACATTAGCAATCCTTTGTATGTCAGCTAAGAAATAATTAAAAATTTATATTAATTTGAATTATTAATTTCTATGATTATTTTCCAGTTTTTGGCGATATGGAAATGACACATACGATCCATTTTAATACTAAAGATACTTATGTGTCTGTCAAAGAAGAGGAACATGATAGTGAAGATGACGCAGAAGGACCAACAGTGGAGCGAGAATGTCCTCAGTGTCATAATGATAAAATGTCCTATGCAACATTGCAATTGAGGTCTGCTGACGAAGGACAAACTGTATTTTTCACATGTACCAAGTGCAAGTGCGTATTTGTATATAGAAATTATTATTGGCTTAATATTCAGATATTACTTTTATGTTAAATTAAGTTTTTATATATTGCTAGTATTTCATTAATGAATAAATCATTATTTGCAGATTCAAGATAACAGAGAATTCTTAATATGGATTTAATATAAAACTATATTTTATAAGAAATATTGTAGAACATATGCGATTCTTCTGTTTTTTATTTTTCAAATAGAAAGTTTACATTCTTGTGTAGAATATATAGAATGATTAAAGAAATAAATTCTAACACTTTAGGATATTTTTTAGGATATTTTTTATTTTATATTTTACATTTTACATATATTTTTTAAAATAATAAAATGTATATTGCGATATTAAATATCGTAATTACATTTTATTATCATAAAAGTAAGAGAAGAATTAAAAATATAAAATAATAATTTTTTTCACTATTTACTATTTTTTCACTATTTTATATTTGCAAATGTTAAATTTATATTTTCCATTTTCTAATTCATTTTTGTCAGAATAAGATTGTTTTTTTGACTATAAAAACATGGACTCCTAGTTCCCACTTCTTTTCTTCTTGAAACAAGCGTAATGAACATTCCTTATCATATTATTATGACCGTGGTCCAATTCATGCTGACACGCTCATGAGCATCATTTGTCTTCGTTTAACATTTGACAAACAACAAGGATAAAATGATTTTTAAGTATTGTGTGGATGAATACCGCGTCATATCGCTAGGCCTTTTGCTCAAAACGCGGGAAATTCGAATGTCAATATCGGAGAATAAGGAGATAGATTTAAGGAGAGATGTTGAACGTATTGCTATCTCGATTTGTTCAGCTATTTTAAATATCAATAGATATTGTAGCACGTTCTCGGACTTCTTAACAATGAATCTCTTGATATAGTTCAATGAGCAGATTCTAAGGGCGTTGATATCCTTGTCGAACGAATGAAAAATCCGCGAGTACCGTCGGGTCCTGACGGCATTCTTGTCACATTCTCAGGCACATGCGTCATCGCGATGCTATTGTTACTCCTCGATCTATAGAATACATTCTGTTCCGAATTTGAAGAGCATAAGGATTTTCTAATATTCATATCGAAATCGCGACTATATGTCGAGAGTCTTCTTGATAATGGTCCACAATCGGCCGATCCACGACGATTTGTGATATAGCAGATTCCCCGGCATTCCATCGGAGGACCTGTGATAAATGATAAATTTGTGAATATTGATTATATCATTTCGAATAAATATATATTGATATTTTGCGTAATACGTAAACAAGTTTATGTTGTGGAATGTATAGTCGATGATTTCATCGTGTCAATATCGTATATATACACGAGATACATATATTATTACTAACCGGAAGGACAGCAAGAGTAACGATGATTTTCATGATGATAAAAGTTCTTTGAGTAATTTGGATGAAGAAAAGCTGTTTCGGAACCAGACGAACAGGTAGAATAACGTCTACCAGAGTCTGAGCTGGAACCGGAACAGGAAGATAGACGCCGAAACATAAAACCGTTCTCGGAACTGGATATGGAGCAGGAAGAGAGTTTACGAGATAAACATGCATCTGATGATGGCATTCCTGTTATAATAAAATAAATATTCTATACGACATCATTAATTGAAAAATTTAATAACATAAGTGACATTACATTCTCACTTGATCGATTTTATTGATCGATCTTTTATTATTAATTTATTTTACGTTTTTGATAAATTTAAAATCACATGTATAACATTGAGATAGAAAGATGTATTGCAAAAATTATAATTCTTAAAATAAGTCCTACATAAATAAATCAAATTTTTTTCTTTAACAAAAAAATTTATCGAAACAATGATTGTTTTTGAGTTTCTTTCACTACTTACACGCAAATTTGTGCATAAGTGATAGAGAAAGAGAATAAAAACGGGGAAAATGATTTCTCTTTGCTATAACAAAATTTTTATTCAAAATTTAATCTCAGAAAAATCTAATATCAAATGTAATATCAGAAATAATAAAAAAATTAACTAAGAAGGATTGACTTTGAAGGCAATGAATTAAATTAAAATAGTTCGTTTGTGATATTCTATGTATAATATACAAATGATGTATTTTTTTTTCTTATGACATGATACCTTGGAAAGGATAACTCGTATTATGGACGTGATACATCGGATATCCTTGAAAACCTCTTTTAAGCCTTACTCTCCCATCCTCGGGCTCAGATCCACTAGGACAACTCGATGAATTGTGATTATCTTCTCTTACTGTTCTATTTGGGATACATTTCTTTATAGGCTGATGTTTCTTCTTTTTGTCAATCGAGTGACGTAATTCGAATACTTGTACGTCACCCAAGGCCATTTGTATGGCGATTCGCGCAGAAGCTGAGTCCGTGAATTCAACCATAGCGTATTCTTCGATGGAGGCCCATTCTGGCCTTTTAGCGATTGCCTGTCGCACCTAAGTAATGATTGTGAAAATTTTATTTCTTGTTTCGATATTGATGGATCTGTCATTAAATATTAAGAGTATTATGCAAAGCAAGATTGATGCACATAATCATCCGCGACTTATTATTTATATATTATTAATATATATGTATGTATGTGTGCACGAACAAAAATCTATGTGTGTCATGCGTGCGTATGTATATGTACATATCTAATACATATATAATGCTGCAACGTGATCGGTAAATAATTTACATTTCTTCAAACTTGACTTTATTTTTTAAAACAAATAGTATAAAAATTACCCTTTTAATTATTTTTAATGTTTTCACATTACTATATTATTATTTCTATTATACTTTAAAATTAAAAAATTAAAAATTAAAAATTAAAATTATAAATTAAATTATAAAAAATTATAAAAATTAAAAATTAAAAAATATAATTTTCATATATAATATTATACATGATGTAATACATGGCATATACATCTTTTGCTAGTAATACAATTAAGAAAGATAGACGTAATTTTCTAAAGACATAAACAAAATTGAAAATATAAATACAGAATAACTTGATTGAAGGAACAGTTGATATAACGAGTGATGCAATCGAATAATCTTTTACTGTAAGAAACCTTACTTATTTCAGTTGTTATGGATCAACTATAGCTTGTTAACGAGGAGATATCATATTTCAGTAAGTTAATTGTAACATATACGAACATTACATCACAGAGTATTAGTCCAAGCCGTGATTATGTCACGGTAGAATACACATTGTGGAAAATTTAATGGGCGACAGGGGGTGGAAGCGGAAAATTTGATGGATGGAAATATGTGATAAAGCATATTGTATATATATTATCCATGTTACCATTAACTATTATCATTAAACTCGGGGCTAAGTTCCGATTTATTGGATTATTGACAGTAATTGAGGGAATTATAAGTTACAATTTGTATCACTAAGAATTACGTGAATTACATTAATTTATGTAGTGATAATTAGTAGTCTTCTTATTTACGTTATTTTATACTCATTTTTACTTTATATATTCTCCAAAAATTGGTCGAAAAAGATAATAAAATAACAAAGAAGAGAAAGCACATGTGATGCTAACGATATAATTATATATTTTAAAATTATGTATCCCATATCTTTATATATAAAACAGATTGTCTAAAGTTGCGAACATTTGAAATTCGCAGGTATATTTTTCGATCAATTCGTATAGTTAATTTTTCCTTGACAAATCAAAGAATCGAATTCTTTTAATTATTAGGCAATCTAAAATGAAACCGTGTTTGTAAATTAAATTTATTATAAATCGAAATTATATCGACGAAACTAAACCAATTAATAGAAGTAATCCTATTTTCGGTCAAAGTGAATCTTATATATTGCTTAATAATATTAACGAGGGAATCTTCGCTAGAAGTGTCAGTTTCTTTAATGAAATTTTATGTACATATAGGCTACGTAAATAGATAAATTCAGAAAATATCAATTGAGACCCAAAAAGATTTCAAGAGATGAAATCTTTATATGCAATAAAACAGTTTTCAGCTTTTTTTCGTTATATCTCAAAAACTATTCAAGAAAACTATTCAAGAATGTTTAATTTATACGAAAGTTTAAAAAAAAAACTATCTCAATTTATTCAAATCAATAAAATAATTTAAAAAAATTTTTTTAACTTTTAAAAATAATTACTGCTTAAAAATATTATTGACGTGAATAGAAGTAATTTTATTGCAAAACTTTTGTACAAAACATATTTTTCAATATCTTGAATTATAGTTTTTGAGATACAACAACAAAAAAAGTTGAAAATCGCTTTATATAGAGAGAAGTGATTTCAAAACCGTTTTTATA